CTTCCCTAGCAAAGGTATTTGATTTTCAATACAAATCTGTGAAGATGTAATCATTACAAATCTGTCAAGATGTAAATATCTAATTACTAGTCACGAAGCTAATTCCAATATGTGATTGCTAAAGTAGCTCGAGATCAAATTCACTCTTTCCACGTTCTACGTCATTGCATTAAAGGAAAATAGCTTTAGTGGTCATGTGAAATTAAGTTTAACGTCATCGGATGTTGCATTTCTTGAAGCTACACCTTCTGAACCTAATATTAAGAGCAGATCAAGTACGTCTTTGACAAGGAGTGATTTGCCAGTCAAGTTAGTATTTGCTGATCACACTTTCGTACTTCACTCTCGTTATCATAGTTCTTTTTCAAATTTCTTGAGATTTTTTAGCGATATCTCACCGTTAGCGCTAATATATGAGGATATAACAAGTAACTACAGTAACTTGTATATAAGTAGAAATTGAAGAAGAAATGAAATTCAAATTTGAAACACAAAAAGAACAATTCATCAAATCTTCTTAAGTTTTCCTAGAGTAATCAAACTTTTGCTAGTCATTGCTCAATCATAAAAGTTTTACTTTTCAAGACTTCTTGAAACTCCTCAAGAATAATACCCTACATTTCAGGAAAAAAGAAATCATACAAATTCGACTGTACTCAACAATAGCAGTGCTGATTACTTTTGGACTCATTTGGTTCCACTTTTTTCATTACATGACAAGATACTAATAACTTGTTCATCAGTGACTGATTTTATTCAATCCTTAGAAAATTTTAAATGTAATTCCATATTGTCTCAATTTAAGTAAAAAAATTTATAAAATTAATTGAAAGTAAAAATGACATTTAGTAAAGAAGTCCGGAATTTACTACCACATATGATAGCAGTTATTGATAAATGTTAAATTTGAAATTAGCAATTTTCAGCTTTCTCTTTGTCAAGACTATTTTTTGGCTTGGCTTATTTGTATTGCAACTACTTATTATGTTTTGAACTGCAGTTTAATATTGAACTGTATCGCTGATCGGTATGTATTCGATGAATGTAGAATGAATCAAATTCTTGGTGTATTAACGATTTTAATAGCAATATCAACTCGTGATTGGTATCGTCTACATGGGGAAAAACTTACCCGAGCATTGAGAGCATTGCTTAACGTTCCTAATATACTTCGTTCCTTTGAGTAAGCATCTTATGTGCAACGTCTAAGATTTTAATGATTTTTTTAGTTCTCCACTGATTACTTTGTTGCAGTTTGTAAAGAATTCGAATTTTTTCTATATACAGTCCCAAAGTAACATCACTTTTTGAACTGAAATTTTATTATGCTTGCTAGATCAAGGTAAATTTTTAAAATACTATTTCACCGTATTATTTCACCAATAATGAAATTATAAATTATTTAATTACATAATTTCCAGTACTTTTGAGTTTGATTTTCTTGGCATCTTAAAACGCTTCAAATTCAATGGTAAATATTTGTTTACTTCGGATGGCCCAATATTGAATGAAGAAATTCCAAGGACACCGGAAACTAAACAGGACAACTTACTTTCTTTACAAATGCTCGAGTGACGATCTTTTCTCTCAAACTCAAAAAAAAATCAACCATAGTTCATACTTAAAACTTCACAGTTTTGATTAAACACAAGTTATGAAGCTCATGACTAGCACAAACTATTTTTAATATTTTTGAAAATTACCAAGAGATCTCTATCTTCAGTTCCATACAAATATCATCTTATATTGCAGCCCAGAAAGTACAAATTCATCTGAAGACAGAACTGGTGCGACAACATGAACAAGACAAAGACAATTTTCGACAGACTGTTCCTCACTGAGCAACGTTTGAAGCACTTGATGTTATATTATTCGTCATTTCGTTACCAGTAGAAACAATTTTAAATTTGAGACAAATGAAAATTAAGTAGCTGAAAGCACTATTAAGTAGTATTTTATCACAAAACAGTGAACCCTGAATGTGTAAAATTTTAAAAGTGCATGAATACAATTCTTGTTAAAAGACAAAAATTTATACCTCGTAGAAATTTACAAAAGCCACGTTCAAAATCACGGATTCATTGACTGAGGTAAAACTATTACAAATTATGTTTCAAAACATTTGGAAGACACACAATATCCTTTTGATTCAATCCATCTTCTTTAAACAGCTATTTAGAAAGAGAATTGGTCCTTATATTTACCATACTTGCTTTACGCATAATGACTTATGTAAAACTATAGTAAACTAGATTATTTTCAAGTAACTTCTAACGTATGGTAAACTTAAATTAGAAAAAATTATAATGCTGGACACGCTGAGATCACTGTTGCCAATCTTCGTACCTACACAGATCGCCAAGCTTCAGCTCACTACACGGTTTCCATTTTATACCAGAAGGCACTAACTTCATTTGCATACGATTACAACCAGTATTTATGATCTATAAATATTTTAAGTTTAACTACGACATCAAAAAACACTGCTTTTGACTTCTGAAACCCTGTTCCAAAAAAACGCAATTGCCCTATTGTTCTCCATCTGCAAATATGTCACAAACATGTCTGATATTTACAATTTAAGCAACTTAACTGGCAACAAAATCCCGTGTTGTCGCATTTCTGTATGTTTGTACTGTTTCCCTGACAAGTTCAATTGAATTATTTAACATCTCCATCACATCGGGATCTTCCTGAAAGTTAACCTGTGCTGTGAATCGTGCGTATTGTTGCTTGTTCAACGTGCTCTAATATAATAGAAAAAATGAAATTTTCATAAAACGAATCGGAAAGACACCATTTCTCATTTTATGCTAGATGTTATCCATATCACATATGAAAATATTTCAACCATTCTTGATATCATGTTGTTACTTATGAAACATCGGAAGAAGAATAAAAAATCATTTAAAAAAAATTCATACTTTCATAAACTGATCCAAATATGCTCTCTTTTTTAGAAGTAGTTCGCACTGGTCTAGGGTGTTTTGGAAAATACTCGCTGTATTGGTATGATTACAAAGCATGAGTCCCGAAACTCTATTAGTTACTGGTAAATAAGGTGAAGCATGGCATTGAGTTATATTCAAGGAACCGCAGCCCCAGGGTGCAAACCTAAAATTCAGCTTTATTTCTTAACTTTTTAGATAACTGAACACATCATTATGCCATAAATCTTAACAATTGTTTACATGGGTCCATATGTTTATTAATATAAAATATTCTCAATTAAATGAAAGAAATAAACTTATTTTATATCCCGTCTTTCTTTAATCTTTGCCATAGAGGAGAAAATTTCTGCTGAGTTAATTCTACCTTGAAGGATAGCCAACGCAGACAACACACAGTGATCAACCTCTTTCTCCATTACAGCACTACTCATCATATTTTTAGGTTGAAGTAGACGGCGGAGGACATCATTAACCGAAGTTTTTGTCACAGGAGCATCGCCATCTCGAAGAGGTGTGAAACATGAAATTTTTAAACTGTCCAGCTAACTTTCCCATTTTTTTTTTACAAAAAATCTCAGCTTTTTCTGTTGCCTCAAACATACATATAAAGTAATTTTTTGTGCAGCCAAAATGAAATTGAGAAAGAAGAAAAGTTAAGAATCACCAAAAATTTTGAAAAAACACATACATCTGAAATATATCATGACATACCGAATTTACTGAACATAAAATAAACCTGTCTGCACAAATCGCATTGGTGTATAAGCAGTCAGAGGAGCAATAAAATTGAGCAAACGTGTATTCATAGGACCAGGAAATCTTAAGGTAGCTGTTGCAGTACACATTATGCGAGAAACCTGAAAAATGAATAAACATGATCAACAAGGAGATGTTCTCCTAATGTTTATACTATGAAAAACACTCAGAAAATACCAAAGAAGTTTATATGCCCATGCTCATCTTGCTTCAGAAGAGTAAATGAAAAGAATTTAATAAAGTCGACCAATAAAGCGTCTACCATGGAATTGATGTGATAAAACGACGCATCAGTGTCAGATATAAATTTATTAGCAATTCGATGTAACGCTGTATTATCTAAAACAACTGCACAATCTGGGTATTCGATTAGTCTTGCTAATGTAAGGATGGAATTATATGGTTGAACAACCACATCACTAGCTGATCCTTTTGTCATAACTGGGAAAACTGAATAAGTTTGAACTAGTTTCTTCGGAAACCTGAAAACGATTTTTAAATTCACTGCAACCAACAGGAGAGAGTTGATAACAAAATGTTTACGAAGATTTGTACAGCATATATTAAAATATTTCGATACTTCTGAATTTCGTTAAAAATGTTACTAGATCATCTTATGCTATCGCAAAACATATTATCGTGAATAAACGAAAATTCCGTATGACTATTTAACCTATCACTTATCCTCTCCAATGCATAAGATCCCATTCCTGAGCCAGTACCACCAGCTATTGCATGACATAACAGGATACCTTCAAGACAATCACTGTTTTCAGCTTCTCGATCAAGAATATCAAAAACATCCTCTTCTGCTTGTCTTAAAACAGGGATAAAAATAAAACACGGATTGAGAAAAAATTTTTATAAAACAAACTGAAATTATCTCTCCTGTTCACTCTGCAAAAGAAACATGTTATTCAAGAACAGCGTTTTTCTTGAACTGATCCTTCAGTAAAGTCTAGAAAACAACAGGGTCAAAATCTGTACAAAACATTTTTTTTCAAGAATGCTGAACCAGCGGTACTAATGTTTTCTGCATGCTTTCTTTTAGAATTACCGAGTCAAAAATACAGAAGAATCTTACTTTCCTTGTTTGTAGCCACTAATGAAATTGTTGCCAGCACCACCACCACTTTTGGACATAAAAATATTCTCTCTATTGTAGAAAGAACGATACTCAGAACTAACAATACCATTTATTACACGTGGCTCTAAATCGACCAAAACAGCACGTGGGACATAACGATCATCATCAGCCTGTTGATATCCGGTAATAAAGTTATTGTAAATCAAACGTAATCATAAAAACTACGAATCAAATAATGAAATCAAATACTTCCATCAGTAGAATTTTGGAATATCATACTGTGACAACAGTTTAAGTTTGATCCCTCATTTTTTTATAACTAAAATCCTTTAAGTAAAATTACTTTCTAGATCTAGATCTAAACCATTGTCCCAATACTCCCTCAAATTACTTTGTAGAAAAACCTGATAGAAAAAGATGCTTTTCAAGTCCATCTTACAATCAGCTTGAATAGGAACGCCTTTACAGTCAATTCCATGTTCGGCACATAACGAACGCCAAAAGGCATCACCTATTTGATTCCCGCACTGACCGAACTGTACAGCCATTATTTCGCTCGGCATACTTATAATCTAAAATCTCCTGTGTATTCAGATAACTTTATTTGCATCACCTGAATACGATACAGAAATACGTGTCGATTCGATACGCCTGCTAATTCTACAAGGTCCGAAAAGTGCAACAAGCATGCATACAAATTAGTCTAAGAAAAAGTTTTAATTTAGAATTCATAACTGCACAGAAAAACCTGTATCCTACCTCATGCGAATACGTAAATTCAAAAATGAACAAAAAACTGAAAATAGAACGAATCCGTTACACGTTTTAGATGCTGAAGTGTACATTTTCGACATTATTTATCTTAAAACACATAGAAAACTAAATCAGACAAACAACAATATCTCAATCACAATATATACACTAAAAATAGCAATAAAAAGAGATTACAAAATAGGATAAAAGTAACGGAAAATAAGCTTTTCTGACTTGTTCATAAATATACATTTCGAAAGATAACAGTGAAACAATTTGGTAATTTTAAAGCAAACAACAGTAAATACAAGATACAGGCAAACTGGCTTCACTTCACACCAGAAATTACACTGAAGTTTACTTTTCAACAAATTATGAACCACTAAAAGCCTCATATGATGCAAGAAATTTTTCTTTTATTGTCCCAAAAACAATTAAAAGTTCTTCTAAACCTCTCACAAACATTTCTGCGGCCGATACACCGTTTTTTGTTTGTAGCCGAACAAGAATTTTGTCTTCTAATGGGTGAGGTACATTATAACCACAGAACTCAACTTCTGGCCTGAAAATAAAATAAATACAATAAGCAAAATGCGCTAGCAACTTACTAGCAGCTCAATTTCTTAACTCCTCCATGAATTTAAGTTAAAGAAATTGGTGAAAAGTGCTATTTTCTTCTAACGCATTTTGCTTATTGTCTTATATATATATATATATATATATATATATAT